GGTCCACCATTAGAAGTTTCCCAACCAAACTACCAATCTTACTAAGTCCTTTCGGACTCCAGTACTTAAAATCAAGACCAGGAAGCTTGATCCAAATAGGTACAATGCGTAGTTCTTCCTTCGTAAATTCCATATCAGGATTCCATCCCTTCACTATAAATGGTTTGTTGTCAAAGTGGTATATGCCACCTTGCAACACCTTTTGCTTCCCTACTTTAGTGTCAAATCGAACTATAACAATACCATTCTTGAGCATCGCCACTTTGTTAATTCCTAGCTTGGACCAAAGCCTGTGTATTAATTCTTTCAGCACTTCAAATGGAGGATGGGCTCCCAACACATAGCACACTACTGCAGTCTTCCAATAGGCAATTTCTGAACTAATATCCTCTAATTCAATCTCAATTACAGGGGATTCACCATGCATAACATGTTCTACATGCTCCAATTTGAACCCAACGTTTCTCATGTATGTGGACTGTTCTGATTGCTCTTGCAGCTGGGTCATTATTCTTCTGTTAGTTAGAAAATAGGTTTACTGTTAGTCATTATTCTTCTTGTTGTAAATAAATTAAGAATTTAATAGTGAGAAAGATATTAGTTTTTAGTAACTGTTGAATTGAACTAGGAGTGATGGAATAATTCCCAGAAGCAGTTTGCAAATATCTCCTGCAACTTTGCTATTTTTTAATGTCATTTGAAGCTTATTGAATTTATATGCTTGTTGTAGATATAGAGTAATAACTTTAAAAAATATCATTGAAGTCATTGAACTTTTGCAACAAAATTGCTAAATTATTTTGTATTTTCATTAATTGTATGTAGGTGATGATTTAGAAGAAGGAGATGAAAGTAGTACTGAAGACTTGACATATGAGCTGAATTGAGTTGATGTTAACTTTACCTATGTTCTGGAAGTCGGTTATTTTTGAAAATTGAAAACCATCATGTGGTGCATCTGTACATTAATTTCACCCTTTTTGAATGGTTGAAAAATGTTTATATAGTTTGCTTTTATCGATATTACGTACCCAACCATGGATCTTAGATTATAATTTTGGTAATGAAATATAACTTCTTCACATGATTTTTTTATGTGTATTTTATGTTATAAAAGTATTGCAATGGCTAAATTAATAATATATGTGGAACCAATAGTATATATGTTGGGATAGCCTAATATTAATCGTTGCAATATGTATATATTAATTGTTGCAAAAAGTAAAGAATTATTGCATTACCCCGTAATAACTGTAGCAATAGACATTGAGCAACAATTATAATAGCTTAAAATTGATGCATTACCATATAACAACCGTTGCAATAGAATCAAAATGCTTGTAAAAATAATTGTAGCAACAACCTACACGAACTGTCGCATAAAACTGTATCGAGACGGTAAATAACCGTACCAATAGGGTGTTAACCGTCGGCAATGGATTGTAAATAAATGTGGCATAAAACTTAATTCCAACGGTTTATAACCGTACCAATAGAACTTTAACCGTTGGCAATTTATTAATCTGTAAACCGTCGCAATAGGGCCATCTACGGCTACAATTTGAATAACCGTCGGACACAACCGTCCCAATAGAACTAATGCAACGCCAGCTGTTGTAGCGGTTGCTTAAACCGTGGCGTTAGAGCTATAGCGATGGTAGAGAAGCCTATTGCAACAGTAAGGTAATCGTGACAGTAGATCATATTTCTAGTAGTGTCATAATCATACTTCAATTCTTCATACTTTGCCCTTCAAGGCCATGAATCACAAATCACCAACACACCAATAATTTACTACAATTTAGGCATGAATACTGATATAATTCAATAAACTAAAGCAATATAGACATATTCTATTCACATGCTTTCATAATCAACAAACTCACTTCATGAAGGCACAATTTAGGAATTTAGGAAATTCACGGGTTCTTGGAGTATTTTCATCATAAATCATCAATTAAACACCAATTCATCCATAAACTATCATTAATCAACCTTTGAAAATGTTTGAAGAAGGAACCCATGATTTAGAGTGAAACCCTAGGTTTTTGAGAAACTTGAAAACTTTGAAATCTACTTTTGAATGGACTCTATGGGTGAGAGCTACCCAAAGATGAAAAATCACCATACCTTAATGGAGTTTTCCCCTAAATTTGAGAAGAGACACCTTGGTTCTTCAAGCCCTAGTCTCCACCTCTTCAATGGAGGTTTGTAGAGAGAAAAATATTAAGAGGGATGAACTCTTTTGGGTGTTTGGGAATAATGAAGTAAAATAGGTGTTTAAAGACTTAAAACCATTTATATATGTAAAATAAAACAATTAAAAACGACCCCATACAATACCTAATTAAATAGGAATTTACGAAAACACCCCCAACTAGGCAACCACTCCTAGGCACCACGAGAGGGCCTCACGAGTCGTGGTCCTACCCGTGGTCCTTGGGCAGTGGCCTATGACTTGGGGTCTTGGCCAAAATTAATATGAGGCATGACCACGAGTCCTCCCACGATCCGTGGTCAAGACCACAAGTAGTGGTATAGGTCGTGGTCTTGAGGCAATGGCTATGCCTCAATGCCTTGCCTCACACACGCCTAAGGAATCTTCATGACACCCTTCACACCTTGTCAAGGGCACCACGGCTCGTGGTGGTGCCCGTGGTCCCTTGACCAGTGGCTCCTTCAACCTTACACAACCCCCAAGAGGCTACGACAACCCCACGAGCCTTCCCATGGCCCGCGGTCATGACCACGAGCCGTGAAGTGGCTCGTGAAGGGAAGCCTTAGCTTGGCACCAATTTAGGGCACACTGCCTCACCAACCACGGGTGGCACCACGACTCGTGGTGGCCACCACGGGTCGTGAAGACCCTCGTGGTCATGGTAGGCAGTGGCTAGGCCTAGTTTTAGGTAGCCTTGGCCCCTATCCATGGCCTTCACCCAAAACCCTTGGCCCTTGCCCTTAACCCTTGACGTTAACCTTCATCTTTAGGCTCTAGTTCAATCTACCATTTTTCGAGGTGTTACAGTCTAAGTCCGAAAGGTGGACTTAAACAGAAAGATAACTCATGGTAGCCCGGAAGAACAGACTCATCCTTGAATTCGAACGATCACTGATCTTCTAAGCGAGGTCTGTCAATAGCCGCTTGAAGATGCCCTGTACTCAACAAAGAAAGAGCAAGTGCAGTATCAGTACACAACCACAGTGTATTGGTAGGATCACGCGGCTATCCCACTAAGTGCAACATACATAAGCCATAACAACATAATAATAACATGCATACACCGAACATATACAATATTAACATCACTTACGACAACGTACAATTTCACAATTCTCAAGATATACAGTTATGTCAAGTCAATGGTCCTCTCACGAAACCCACATCCAAACTGTTAGTGTATCGGTACATGGTACCCGATCCATTCAACAAGCCATAATCACAATCACAAGTATATTCTCAATAATCATACAATCAGAAGTGATTCAAGGCATGTAGTCATTTGTTCATACTCATTTACAATTAGTGTGATCAATAATGCAACATCCACATACATACATGCATCATAATGAAGCAAGAACAAGCATATATCACACATCATGAAATCACAACCATCACCTACCTTAAACAAAGCTTGAATTCCCTAAGAAACTTGATTCTTCCCTTTTCTGATTCGTTTCACTTGTTCTTGGTCTACAAACAATAATTATAACACGGGAATCAATAAACGATAACTAATTACCCGAATTACTAACAATCCCATCAACCCTAGATCAAACCCTTGATCCCAATATCCCAATTAGGGTTGTCCCCACAATAATTTCCAGATCAAAACCCTCCCCCATCGATAACTACCCATTAGATTACGTTCTACGGATCGAAAATCGGATTCAGGGAGTTAAAATCTTACTTTTAGCCTCAAGAATGGTGGAAAACTGTTAAGAAGTGTCTTGGGTTCGTTCCTTAGCTCTTAAGTTTGAAAATTGTAGAATAAAATGTTTTTGGCATTTAATTCCGACTTTAAGTCGCGTCTGTCCCGCCACAACGGTCTAGTCCCGCTGCAGCGGCCCCGCCCTGGCGGAAAAATCCCGCCTCAGCGGCTTGCACGAAACCAGTGAGCAAAATTAATAATTCCAAGACCCATTTCACAACACACTTTCAACCAACGACACTCAGAAACTACCCATACACGCCAAGATCAGTTTCGGGAGTTCTACTCACTCGAATTCAATTCCGTATAGTCGTACAAATTCTTTAATGTCTTAGCTATCTACTCATGTAATCAAAATCATAAATAAATCACCAAATTGCTACCAGATTTCCCTAGACCTTACTGACTCTGATTTCGTCCAAATCTGGACTAGGTTGGGAAATCCCAAGTTACTACGAAAAAGTTTTCCGTCCCAAAAGTTTTCCCCGTTGGCTTTTCTATAACGACGGGAATCCGTCGTTACAAGTTCAATCCCTTGCTAAGAACAAATGATTTACCTAATTTTTAATAAAATTTTAAAGTCGTTTGGTTTGAATTCAAGTTATGACGGGATTAGTTATGTTGAGATAAATTATGATGGGATAAATTGTGTTGAGAATATTTTTTATTTAGTGTTTGGTTTGTTGCATTCAAAATAATAGGCTTTGCATAAATTTTAAGAACAATTTATTTGTTTACAAAAGTACCCTTCATGAATGTGAAATGTATAGAAAAGGTTTTAAAGGATATTTTTGTCATTTACTTATTTTATTCCGGGATAAGCTATCCGGGATTACTATACCACCCAAGGAAGGTATAACTTATCTCGGTACTAATTATTAATTTCGAGATAAGTTATCCTGGACATGTCAACCAAACAACAAATTAAGTGGCACTACAATTTAATCCATGACTATTTTGTGTTATCTTTTACACCAAACGACCCCTTAAAAGCCTTAATTACTTGTGTCATTTTTATCTCTTGGTAGCTCAAATAAGCTCGATCTCTCCACTAGAGCACGTGGCCCTACTTAACAAGAAAAAGCGGTGCAGTTTACGTTTTCCAGAAAACTCTGTTACTCCTTCTCAATTTCGAAACCCTAAACCCAAACCCAAACCCAAACCCGAACACTAGAGCCAAATACCGACGGCCATGGCATATCACGCCGGAGACAACAACGACGACGGCCAAAATCGCCGGCTCTATAATCCATACCAAAATCTTCAAGTTCCAATTAAAACACTTTACAAGCTCCCCTCTTCCCCCGAATTCCTATTCCATGAAGAATCTCTCGCACAACGCCGATCATGGGGAGAAAACCTAACGTTCTACACTGGCATCGGTTATCTCTCCGGTTCCGTCGTTGGGGCAGGTAAAGGATTTATTGAAGGCGTTAAAGCTTCTGAGCCTGGGGACACGTTGAAGCTCCGGATTAACAGAATATTAAACGGGTCGGGTCACACTGGTAGGAAGTTCGGGAATCGGGTCGGAGTTATTGGGCTGATGTATGCGGGTTTGGAGAGTGGGATGGTGGCGATCAGGGATACGGACGATGTTATCAATAGCGTGGTGGCGGGTTTAGGGACTGGAGCATTTTACAGGGCGGCGGCGGGGTTGAGGTCCGCGGCTGTTGCTGGGGTTATTGGTGGAGCTGTTGTTGGGCTTGGAGTTGCCGCGAAACAGGCGATGAAACGATACGTACCAATCTGAGCTTGTTTTTGATAGGTTTGTAGCTTTGAAGTTTCAATTGTTACTGAAATTTTGATGATACCTTGAGAAATTGTTCCCACGTTGAGTAGTAATGTAATTATTTCATTAAAGGTGCATGCTTTCTAGATATATTCGATTATCGTATTATTTTGATGTAGTTAAAGTTCAGAATGCTTTGTTATGCTTTTTTTTCAGACTGTTTTGGACCTTTTTTCCTTGAGTCAAGAGTCTATCAAACAGCCTCTCTACCTCTTTGCGGTAGGGGTAAGGTAGAGACGTTACTTTCTAGATATGCTTACAGACTCTTTTGTAACATATTTATATATCCTGAAATTAGGAATATAAGACACTTGTTTATGATTAATTAGCTAGTGTATGCCATCAAAGTGCACCTTGAATAGCAGTAACGCAATTATATGATGAAGGCTGCATGCTTTCTTGATATATTTACATGTTTCTTTGAATATATGTTCTGAAACTAGGTTTTAGATGGACTTGGTTATGAATAAATGATAAAGAAAGAGATTTGCTGGTGAATGACATTTTTGAAAACTTGGCACCTTGAGATGGTTGTTCACTTCTGTTGTTTCTGTCAATTGTCTCTGTTTGTTACAGTTTTGTGCAAAATTTCAAGAATGCATCTTCTGCGCTTGTACAAGTAGTTTTCTTTGAAGTATATTTGTACTGATAGAACATCAACAATGCACCCAGTGAAATTTTAGAAGTGGGGTCTATAGACGGTAGAGTGTACGCAACAAACCTTACCCCTTAACTCGTGGAGGTAGAGGGATTGTTTCCAAAGGACCCTTGCCTCTAGTGATACTTGTATTTATTTGTTAGTTACTGTAAAGGGAGGTTGTTACCAAAGGACCCTCGCCTCAAGTGATATTTGTATCTATTTGTTAGTTACGGTAAAGGGAGGTTGTTTCCGAAGGACCCTCGCCTCGAGTGATATTTGTACCTATTGTTAGTTATTGAAAGTGAGGTTGCTTCCGAAGGATCCTTGCCTCAGAGTGATATTTGTACCTATTATTAGTTACTGAAAAGTCTGTTCAGTAGATAACGTTGAGTTAACTGAATCATCAAGATGCACTTTTTAGTGGCATGTGGTAGCTAGTTACTTTTGCTGCAGTCATTTTTGTTTCTTATTTAAATGTAATGTTAGCCATTCATTCTCTGATGGTAACTTTGGCTTTATGTCTAATGTAACAAAGAAACTAGTTGCTTTGACAATTATAACTGTGTAAATTATCTTGTCAATCAGTATTATGTGTATATACATGCTTTGTGACATATTTCGTTGGTTTGCAGTTAGAGTAATTGCTTAATCTTCTCAGTAGGTAGTATCTCTGTTTATATGTCTACGACACTGCATATTATGGCTCTTTCTTTGAGATTTTGTGAGTCGCGATTATTTGCAGACTTGCAAGCTGTCTCTCCGAAATTGGCTTATATATATTGACATGATTTTGAAGGGCCTAGATTGAACCTATAGTAGAGTAGAGGACTTGAAAATCATCGTGTGTTGAATGAGTTTTTGGTATAGCTTCAACTAGCAGGCCCCTTTTCAATGTTTGAACAGAGTTCATGATTCATTGTTATTGATCAAGTCACCACCCGTCTTTGTGAGAAGGTGGGTACTTCTTGAAATATCGATGAGTTTGGAGCTCATAATGATCATGCTGGTCTTCTATATAAGTATTTATGGTATGTTTGTGCTACTAGAAAAGAATTGAGTATAATCCAAAGGAATGGACAAGTGGTCAATGACGTTGGTATGAACCTTGTGGATCAAGTTCAAATCCCCACGAACAATACTACATGTTTTATTTCCAACGTGGGCAGAGTTACTGGTGGTAGTATTTGTAGAAGTCGCTGAAATAGTTGAGGTGTATGCAAGCTGGTTAGGATACGAGAAAGTTGAAATTTTAGCTCATTGTTTATTATATTGGTATAGATAGGTGGAGTGCTGTAATACATTTCTATTCACCTCAATGATTGTTGTGGCTGCACGTCAAATAGAGCTATCATAGTTATTATAATGATAATTATTACGATGAAATTGCGTGATGCCTTTGCTATTATGTGAAATCTAACATTTTGGTATCTCTATTTCAAATTATCAAAACAAAAAAGGTTCAAAATATCTTTAATGTTGTAGAAATAATTTACAAATTTATGTTTATCTATTGCATCGAATTTGCCTGCTTCTTAACGTATTAGAAATGATTCAAAAATTGCGCTTAATTTATCTAGAGGACTAGTTCCTTCTACTCTATCTGTTGACTGTATTCGTCCCAACCTCTCAATAATTCAGGAAAAGAACTTTTTAACTGTTTCTCATGTGTATATCAATTTCTCCATAATAATTGATTATTTGAAGTTTGAACCTGACTTTAATTGCCTTTTAAAAGCATATTCTATCGACTAAACTTCACAATTCTTACTTTTCATGAAAGAAAAGAGAAATGAATAACTATATGTGTGATGGATCTGAATTGACATAATATATGTATGAAGGATTTGAATTGACATAATACACAAACAAACACTTAAATATGGCTTCAACTTGATAAGTAAGCATTTCAATTTTGTGAGTGTATATCTATGGACATTTTAGGTTGATCTCAATTGACAACTAGACATATTAATTTGTTTTCATTGTATCTTGTGGACATTCGATATTGATGCGTTACATACTTTTTTAGAGGTGTCTAGATAATTAGTTTGTAAGTTGAAGTGTTCAATTGACACAACAAAGATGAATTAAGGTGTCTAGGTATGCTTATTTAAAGTTACAGTGTTTAATTATCTGTTGAGATCAAATTAAAGTTTCTATTTATGTATTCATATAATAATTCCAAGACATATAAAATATTCAGTGTCTTGCACATGTTACCATCAAAGTTTGTCACATAACTCCATTAACAAAAAAGAGTAATGGAAAAAAGCAAAAAAGATAAAAGATAAAAAGGAGGAAAAGCTACTCAAGAATATGATAAAAAGATAAAATAATGAAAGAAGAATAGGATAAAAAGATAAATATAAAAGAAGAATAGAATAAAAATAAAAGCCACCTCCACCCCTCTCTTGAATATATAAATCCATATATAGTTTACTCAAAAACATAATCTTGAAGCAAAGCCTAGTACATTTTCCTCTAAAGCCAAACCCCACAACAAACTAAAGCTCTCATTTTCATTACTATTCCTAATGGAGAATTTTAGATCAATGTCAACAAGGGAAGGTGGAAGGATGCAAAAGTTAGCACCAACAAGTATGCAAGATTTGAGGAGTTATAGTACTAATTCACATCATGTTCCTAATTATAATAATAAGGAAGTGACGATCAAGAAGAGCAATATTAACAAGAGCAAAGTGATGTCTTCTTCTTCAAAAAGTTGGAAATTGGATGATCTTGAATTGCAAAGAAAGAGAAGAGTTGTTGGATATAAAGCTTATGCTATGGAGGGTAAAATGAAGGGTTCACTCAGAAAGAGCTTTAGGTGGATCAAGGATACTTGCAATAATGTAGTCCATGGATGGTGGTGAATCAAGTTCAGAAACGAATTCAAGATTTAAGTTTTTGTAGGTTCAATATTTAAGATTTTTATCGTTGAACAAGTTATATATTTATGCTCTGCATTGCAATAATCTCATTTGTCTCTGGTAATGATCTATTAATCAAATTGGTCATTTACCATAGAGTTAATGATCAGAACACATCTAAATCATTACTTTTTTGTCAGTTTCATATTTTAACTATCAATTATTTTCTTTACCTATCTAAACTATCACTCCTATTAAATAAGTTTGAGCTAACTCACACCACAAAAGTTATCTCATAACCTTACAAGGAGGAGGATCGCCCAAAGTCCAAACCATATAAAAGCTCAAGATTCCATTTTTCACCGATGTGAGACATTCATTCTATTCATCACCACCCTTCACTCTAGCTAGGATTCATATACTTATTAGGAGTTTTATTGTTCTGGAGCGTGACATTCATGAACCAAGGGTATTTCTACCCCCACAATTGTCCAATTTTTCTAGGGTTTCACATCGGGTTTGACTCTGTTGCCACGTTAAATTAAGTTTTGGTCCTAATTCATATCTCAAAAGTTAGCTCAAAGGAAAAGAATTACTCAAATTTCATTCATTTACTAATGTGAGATATTTCATTTCATTCATCAACCCCCTTTGTATTAAAATACACCTATATGCTAAGTAATATGTTAAATCGAAGGAACAACTGAAATATATAAACACTTATTCTACATTGGATCATAAATTGTAATTTAATTCTTAAATATAATTATATGCCATTAAAGTTCGATTAGATTAGGATTCACGCTTCGCATGACTCATTTCTAAGGGCGACACTCTCAACATGATTTTTTCATTTTCAGAGTTAGAACCCGAGCTAGATTTTTCATTAAAACTGAAGAGATCTCAACCATAATTTATATTGGTGTTACACTTTCACTAATTACCAGCAACTATGCACCACCAAAATAAAGGAAAAAGAAAAACAAAAATAAAAAGGGGCAATCTTAGGTATATGATGATATTGATCCTGGAATAATGCTGCTTTTTAATGACCCATATAATCATTAGTAATGATATATAGTAAAATTTACGCATGATTTAAGGTAACTTATTATATAATTATAAGTTAATATTTAATATAAGCACTAATTGATCAGATAGAATAATAACTATGTTATTTTCACAGATTAGATTATTAATAATGTATTATAGTATTGAGGTGTATGTATATATTGTTTATATTTATTATTATAGACAAATGTATAATTGAAGCACAAAGGGATGTGACAGGCAGGGTGAACATAATCTCTCTTACTCTTCCTCCAATCGTTTTATTGTCTCTGTCTATTTTTAGTTGTCATGTTGCAATAAAATTAATTTGACTAGTTTTCAAAATTAAATTAGATTATATTAATTTGATATTTTAAACAAAAAAATTAGATATTCAAAAACTATACGAAAATATTATAAATTGTAATATTTTGTATATCAATATGATGTAAAATATATCGTAAAATGTTAGTCAAAGATATGATAATTTGATTCTAAAAAAGGAAACCATGACAATTAAAAGTGGATGGAGAAATTATTTGTTAATTACTTTTCTCTTTTCAAATTTGAAACTTCCTGAATTTTGATT